GCATGCAAACATTTTCAGATCAGTTCTAAGCGGTAACCCCAAAACCCCAAAACCCCTAATAAGCTCTTGATAATGATAGGTTAGAGTGTTGATTTGAAATAAAATAAATTCTTAGCAATAGAGGGCTATAACTTTTAAATAAAATCGTTAATATAAACAAAATAAAGAAGAAGTCTTCTAGTAACAAGAGAAATCACAAATAACATGCAACCCAAGAATCTCCCTAACTAGCTACCATTCCTCCCTGGAAATGTGTACTAAGACCCCACTATTACAAGATACCACAAGACTCAGTTGCTCGGCGTGAGAGACGGAGCCATTCTAGGTAAGTTACAGTTCACACCCAACTTTGAATGCATATCCATGATCGTCTGACCTTTTGAATTTAGAAAAGACAACCAGCTTGCAAGAGAATGTAAATCCTGCCCTCCTGTCGTCATTAAGAGAGGGTAATCCACTTAAGTTGACCGGTATTCCTCAACGTAAGCCACAAGAGAACGATGCCATCCCCAAGATCGCTCCCAAATGGCTTAAGTACGACAAACAGGTACGTGCAATCTACTCCCTTCCCTTGCTAAATAATATATTATATTCAGAGTACTTATTTCATAATTATAGGTCCTTCAATTTAACGCTTATTTCCAAGAGCCAGTAGTTGAAAATCCTAATGAAAATTACAGAGTCAGAAAGTGCATCATCTACTACTACCTCGACGATGATACTGTCCATATTATTGAGTCTAGAGTAGAGAACAGTGGAATACCTCAAGGTATTTTTTTGAAACGCCACAAAGTTCCAAGACCAGAAGATGCAACTGCTCACTATCAATGGCAAGATTTGAATTTAGGATCAAATTTGAATGTATATGGACGTGTTTTCAGAATCGTAGATTGCGACGATTTTACAAGAAGATTCTTCTCTAATGAAGGAGTTGCTCTTAACCCACCAGAGTCATACCCAGACGATCCATTCGCAAAAACTAGAGCCATGATTAATATGAAGCAGAACCCACCCGATCTTGCTGAGCATAAGAATTATATTGAGGTCATGCTAAAGGGTGGTAGACCTAACAAAAATCTAGAGAGTTTCCTCAAGAATGATAGAATAGTATTGTCATACAGTATTGTTTGGGAGGATCGCTCATACGATGGTGGTGATAAATTCTACACCTTGAACTTCTTCCTTTCAGATAACTCAGTTGAGGTCAAGGAGATCAACGAATAAAACAATGGAAAAACTCCATTCCCCATGCTCTTGAAGAGACAAAAACTCGCAAAGACTCCAATTCTCACTCACTGCCCAGGAATGTCACTTAAGAAGGAAGAATTTTACACACCCGAGGACTTACTTATCGGAGCTAGAATTAATATTTTTGGCAGAGAGTGCATGATCTATGATGTAGATGCTGCTACTAGAGAGTGGTACAAGCAAGTCTTTGAAAATGAAATGAACCCAATTCAACTCAGAAAACCAAGAGCTAACATTACATACTAACCAGTTCCTCCTTATAACGGATATGGAACCCCAGAAGACTCTCTAGGTTCAGTATATTCACTTCAACCAAAGCCACCCAAGATCGATATGAAAAAGATGTTCAAGCAAGATATGCATATCTTGAGATTTGATGCTAAGCTCATCTCAACCGAGCCTGATGATGAGTCAAGAAAATTCATTATCTCTTTCTATTGTGGAGATGATACCATTTAAGTTTATGAGGTCTGCGACAAGAACTCTGGAAGAATAGGAGGTAAATTCATGGAGAGAAAGAAGCATCAAAATCCAGTAAACAGAGACTATTATGCTGAGAAGGACTTCCTCATCGGAAGAACTATCTTCCTTGGTGGATTCAAGTTCTAACTACTGAAGGCAGATGAATACACAGAGAGATATATGGAAGACAATCCAGATATTTTCCCAGAGGCTTCCCTTGAAAATGTTCTTAGAAAGATCAAGAAGGGTGCAACCAAGTACAAGAACTTACAAGAATATGTCATCAATCTCATCCAGTATTTAGATAAAAATGGTGATGGTGGCATTTCATTTGAGGAATTCACAACCGGCCTTAAGAGTATGAACATCTTTGTTACCAACCATGAAGAACACACATTGATGAGAAGATTTGATAAGAACGGTGATGGAGTTGTTTCCATGGAAGAATTTTACAACACTTTAGCAGAAGTCTACGACAAATAATGAGCAGATCTTGCATATTGATAATGAATAAGATTAATCAGCTAGCCATCCCCACTACCAGCTGACTATTTTAAGTTTAAAATAATTCAAACACAAGCATTATTCACTTTATATAAATGATATAAATTTCTTAGATAGAATCAATTTTGTAGAAGGGGTTTTGGGGTTTTGGGGTTTTGGGGTTTTGGGG